CACACACACACACACACACACACACACACACACACTTGCTCCCACCAGTTAGGGGGAATCCTGGCTCCTGAGGCCCCAACAACCACCTTGGCTTCTGACTCCCAAATGTCCGCTCCACAGGGGGAGGGGGTTTCTCGTACATTTGCCTAAAGAGAGTCTGGCACCAGTAGGTGATCAGTAAATGCCTGACGGAGTTAGTCGTCCCCACGTGGTCTGGCTGAGGCTGGCCCTCTCCGAATATCCAAGACCCTGAACTCGCCACCCCTCATACCTGGGGCTCCAGCACCCAGTTTTTTCCCCATTAGGCAGCACACTGAGCTGGGGGGACCTGATGGGACCCCTCACCCCTAACGAAAGGCACCAGATGAGGGCAACTGCCCACTTTATTAGACAACAGCTGGTCCACAGGGCTCCCTGTGACTCATACTCATCAGTGGACAGCCCACAGGATGACAGAAGGAATCTGCCACCACTAGTCTGCCCCTGGGATCCTGGTCCTGGGATGGTGGGCAAGAGCAGACACCAAGGGGAGGCGGGGGCTGGCCTCACAGAGGCCTCATAAATACGAGGGGGTCACAGGCGCGGGATGCAGAGGAGCTCAGCAGCAGGGACTCGGGGAGCGTGGAGGTGAGGCTCTCCTGGGGCGGTCCATGTCACGCAGCCACCTGTGTCTGACTGGGCCTTGGCTCAGCATCCAGGCGGCACAGGGGACTGTCGTATACCATCTGCAGGTTCACCTTGTGGCCCACCAGCTCCCGGATGTTGTTGATGCCGTATTTGATCATTGTTGGGCTTTGGGGACAGGGAAGAGAGTTTAACATTTGGTCAGGTTATGCTCTCCCCTGCTCAGAAGCTTTCCATGGCTCCCACCTTCCTCAGGGGAAAAGCCAAAGTTTTCCCTATGATCCACAAGGCCCTGTACCATCTGCCCTGTCACCTCCCTCCCCTTACATCCTTATTCTGCCCCACCTCGATCACTCCCTCCAGCCACACTGGACTCCTCGCTGTTTGCCAAACACACAAGCCTCGTTCCTACCACAGGGTCTTTGCACTGGCTGTGTCCGCTGCCTAGAATACCCTTCCCAAGATATTCTCATGGCTCACCACCCCTTCATCAGCCTCCAGTCTTTTCTCAGCTGCCACCTCCCCTGTGAGGCCTTCCCTGATCACCTGGTCTCCTTACTTACTGCCCTCGGACGCGCTCTAGACTTTATTTCTTGAATGTACTTATTTATCTTGCTGGTCATCACCCTTCTTGCTCCACTGGGTCCCCAGCGGATGGATGCTGCTGAAGCTACACCTGATGGAGGCAGCCAGACACTCTGAGTTCCTGTCTGGGTACTTACCGCTCCAGCGAGAGGCCCCAGGCAATGACTGACACATTCTCAGGAAGCCCCATGGGCAGAAGCATCTCAGGGCGAAAGATCCCGGAGTTCCCGACCTCCACCCACTTCTTCAGGCCTGTGGAGGCAGGAGGGGGAGGATGGGGACAGTGTGTGGGGGTGGTTCTGGGCCTGATGGTGACCTTGGGAGTTCGGGGACCCGGGCTCAGCTGTGGGCAGCCTGAGACCTCCCCGACCCCAGCACCAGGCCCCACCCTGACCTTGGTGGTAGCTGAACACCTCCATGCTGGGCTCCGTGTATGGGTTGTAGGCCGGCTTAAAGCGCAGTTGAGTGATACCTGGAGGGGGTGGTGGCAGGCAGCAGGGGGGGCAGGATAAGGTTGGTGACCAAGGCACCCACCCACTGCACCGCCAACACCGCCCACCCCGGCTGGCCCGCTCACCCAGCTTGGTGAAGAACTCCCGAAGCACACCCATGAGGTGGCCCAGGGTGAGGCCGTGGTCAGCCACAACGCCCTCGATCTGGTGGAACTCAGCCAGGTGCGTGGCATCCAGGGTCTCATTCCGGAATACACGGTCAATGGAGAAGTACTTGGCTGGCGTGAAGGGCTTCTAGGGGGTGAGAGCCGGGCCAGGCCCAGGCGTGGGTCAGAAGATCCCCAAGACCTTCCCATCCCGCCCACTGCCCGGGCCAAGCCCCACCTTCTGGGCAAGGCGGTAGAGGGCGCGCGCGCTGGCCGACGTGGTGTGTGTGCGCAGCAGATTTTTCCGGGCCTCGTCCAGCTTCCAGTTGTACTTGTACCTTCGGGAGGAAAGGCGGGCAGTCCATGTGTGCCGTGGCCCTTGGGACCCCAACCTCCTTCCCCTCTGCAGCCTCAAAGTCCAGGTCCTGCCTCACCCCTGTGAGCCGTAGCCACCCTGAGAGTGCGTCCGCTTGACCCGCTGGACGTAGTCCATGGGGAGCTGCAGGGCCTCGGCTGGATCTAGGCAAGGCAGGGGGGCATCCGGTCAGTCAATGAGCATTTCTCAAACAGCCAGGGCACAGGAGACAGACGGTGACACGTGCAGCTCCTGCCCCTGCCCCGACCACGGCCTGGGACACCGAGTCAGTCACATACCTCCTCTACCCAGAACCCTCCATGGCTCCCACTCACCCAGAGGAAAAGCCCAAGTCTTCCCTGGGGCTCTGTCTGGTCACCTCCCTGCCCTTGTATCCTACTTCTACTTGATCACTCCCTCCTGCTGACCTGTGAGCTCACCAGGCATGCTTCAGCCTCAGGGCCTTTGCACTGGCCATTCCCTCTGCCTAGAACTTTCCTTCCCCAACTGTGGCTCACCTGCTTAGGTCTTTTTGCTTGAGCAAAGATTTTAATTTAAATAGCCATAGAAGAAGAATACCAACAACAAAAATAAAAAATAAACAGCCACTCCTTCACTCTCTCCCATGTGTGCACGTACGTGTACACACAGACACACAGACACACGCGCACCAGTTTCCCCTGCTGCATTCACTGTCACCTGTCCTGTTACACAGCCTGCTTAGGAATTAACCGACATCTCCCACAGTAGATTGCAGGTATCCCGGGAGCAGGGATTTCTGCCTCATTCACAGCTGTGGCCCACATGTTAACAGAGACCGTGGCACACAGGAGGGCCTCAGAGAACATTTGTTGCATGGATGTGCAAATTTTTCAGATCCCTTTCCAGGGACACAATTTTGGTGCTCTTGAAAAGCCTGAGATCGAATCCTGGCTCCAGCATTTATGAGCTTTGTGACCCCGGGCAAGTGATCTTCCCTCTCTGGGCCTCAGTCTCCTCATTTGTAAAAGGGGGCTGACAGTAGTACTTCCTGTAGTTGGTAGGAAGATTTGAACAGTGACTACCATGTAAAGAGTGCTTAGTAAGTTTCGGGAGGCATGATAATGACAATAACATGCTCCCAGTCAGGTAATGGGTACCCAGTGACCTTGCCTGCCCTCCTGCTGAGAGGTAACTACCTCTGTGGGAAGTCATTCCATTTTAGACGGTATAAAGATGGTCAAAGAACAAATGCAAGGCCAGTGTGGTGGCTCATGCCTATAATCCCAGCTCTCTGGGAAGCCGAGGTAGGAGGATGGCTTGAGCTCAGGAGTTCGAGACCAGCCTGAGCAAGAGCGAAACCCCCATCTCTACCAAAAATAGAAAAATTAGCCAGGCATGGTGGCATGTGCCTGTAGTCCCAACTACTTCGGAGGCCGAGGCAGGAGGATGGCCGAGGCAGGAGGATCGCTTGAGCCCAGGAGTTTGAGGTTGCTGTGAGCTAGGCTGATGCCAGTGCATTCCAGCCCGGACAACAGAGCAAGACTCTGACTCGAAAGGTGGGGCTGACCCACCTCGAAGGAAGAAGGTGTCGTGCTGGTCGCGTGCTGGGTGCTGCTGGGGCTGGAAGAGGGCATCAAAGTTCCAGAAGGAGCTCTCGATGAAGTTGTCGGTAGGCATCTCGGTGAACCTGGTGGGAGACGCGGCCTCACTGCACTGCCTGTGCCCGGTGGCTGAGCCGCCCGCCCCCGGCCTGGTGCTCACCCCATCTCCAGGAAGATCTGGCGGAACTGGGAGCGGACCTTGAGCAGGGGGTGCAGGTGGCCGCTGTCAGGGAGGACACCGCGGGCCGCGAAGTTATAGGACTTGAAGGGCCGGTCCCGCCACGAGCCACTGTGGGGGGATGTGGGATGCACGGGCTGGTCAGGGCTGCCCGCCCCCACCCCGTGCCATGGCCCGCACCTACCCCTCACTCGTGGCCACCCGCACCTGGAGATCATCTCTGGGCTCAGCTCCGTCTCCTGCTTGGAGATGCTGGTGCTGAAGGCGCTGCCTTTGCTCACCCAGTAGGTCTTTAGGGTCCTGCAGCCGGAGGGAAGGGGACACCGTCGTCACCTCCTCCAAGAGGCTTTCCTTGATCTCCCATCTGATGTGCATCCCAATGCTACCCACCAAGTCACTCTGCTTATATTTTCTTCCTGACATTTACCATCACCTGAAATCCTCCAATGTGGCCACCGCTTATCTCCCTGTGTTCGCTCACTTATTCATTCAACGAACACTTATGGAGAAAAGAATGTGTGCCAGGGTCCTTTCGAGGTGCTGAGCACACAGCTGGGAGTGACAATTTAGGCAAAGTCTAGCAAGTTTATCCTGTTGCATGAAAGCCCCTCCCACAGTCCCCTGAGAAGGGACTGCTTTATAGATAAGGGAACCAGGGCCGGGAACGGCCAGGTGACTTGGCCAAGGTCACACAGCCAGTAAGTGGCAGAGGCCAGACTTCAATCAGGCTGCCCAGCTCCAGTCTGTGTTCTCTCTGCCACTGTGTCTGCTCACAGGGGACGTCCGCCCCGTGAGAGCGGAGCCTGGCCAGTGGGCACTGGGTCGACTTCAGTTCTCGGCAGAAGGTGCTGCATGGGCGAAGGCCGTGCGGTGGCACGAGCCTGGGCTCGACAACCAGGGTGTAAAGAGGGCTGGGAGGAGGCTGATGGCAACTGTGGGTGAGTGTGGGCAGGCCGGCCCACACGGAACCACGTGGGCGAGCCCAGGGCGGCGCCCACGCACACTTCGGTCAGCAGCTTCCTCTTCCTCAGCTCGCTCTTCTCCTTCTCGCCCAGCTTCTCGGCCTGTCCGCCCCGGACCAGCTGGAGCCGCCGCTGCACCTCGTCCTCCATGCTGTCCACCTGCAGCGGCAGTGGGCGTGAGGGCCAGGGGCCCACCTGACCAGCCACCCGCCCACCCGCCAGCAGGGACGCACCACTCGGAACACCCGGGGCCCGTCGGCCACACTCTTGTCCACACGGATCCACTTGTTGGACATGGCCTTGCTGAAGCCCACTTTGCCACTGGGCAGTCGCTGGAGGAGACAGGATGCTGTGAGCGGGGCACGAGAGCCACCTTCACCCTATCCCCTGCCCCTCAAGTCCCTACCATGAGCTCGCTCTGGGCCAGGCCCTCGGGAGGGACGCTGCGAAACACTCGGGCCTCGTGGCTGCCCTCGCGAGCGATCTCCTCGCCCTCGGCAGTAAGCTCCCAGCGCTTGGTGGAGCGAAGTTCAGCTTCGATGACCTGCAGGGAAATGGGGGGCCCAGGTAGGGGAGCGGTTCAGAGCCAGGCACCCCCTCACCATTGCACTGGGGCTGAGGTTCAAGTCACAGCCTCTGAACCTGGCTTGACACCCCTCCGGTACCACTGTGCAGTCAGGTGATGTTAAGAGAAGGAGTTCCTCTTGCTGAGCCGACTTCCTTATGTATCACACTTATCTTAATAAAGATTCACCACATCTCCCAGGGCAAGGTAGAGTACTGCTGATGCTACCTGGCAGAGGACAAACTCTTACTATCCCTTTTGAACCTGTGACAGATTTTAAGGTCTCAGGTAAACAGATTTGTGTCCATGTTTCTGTGTTCGTGTTTGCATCCTACTGCCCGGGGTATCATAGAAGGGCCCTGGAGGCCCACATTACAAACAGAAGCCTGAGGATCCCAGATGAGGACAGGTCCATGGTCACACAGACAGGAACAAGGCTAGGCCGGGTGCGGTGGCTCACGCCTGTAATCCTAGCTCTCTGGGAGGCCGAGGCGGGCGGATTGTTTGAGCTCAGGAGTTCGAAACCAGCCTGAGCAAGAGCGAGACCCCGTCTCTACTAAAAATAGAAAGAAATTAATTGGACAACTAATCCCAGCTCTCTGGGAAGCCGAGGTAGGAGGATGGCTTGAGCTCAGGAGTTCGAGACCAGCCTGAGCAAGAGCGAGACCCCGTCTCTACTAAAAATAGAAAGAAATTAATTGGACAACTAAAAATATATAGAGAAATTAGCCGGGCATGGTGGCGCGTGCCTGTAGTCCCAGCTACTTGGGAGGCTGAGGCAGGAGGATCACTTGAGCCCAAGAGTTTGAGGTTGCTGTGAGCTAGGCTGACGCCACGGCACTCACTCTAGCCCGGGCAAAAGAGTGAGACTCTGTCTCAAAAAAAAAAAAAAAAAAAGAACAAGGCTAGGTGGGACCCACAGGTCCTAGCTTCCCCTTTGTTCTAATCTCAGCTCTGCTGCTCACTCACTGTGTGACCTCGGGGAAGTTGCTTAACCTCTCTGAGCGACTTTTCTCATCCACAAGACAAGCATGTGCTGGGCTCTACCTCAGAGGATTTCAACGTAAACGAATTAATACAATACACAGAAAGAATGTAGAGTTTTCCCTGCCCCACCCCCGAGACAGTCTTGCTCTGTCACCCAGGCTACAGTGCAGTGGCATCATCATAGCTCACTACAACCTCACACTGCAGGGCTCAAGTGATCCTCCTGCCTCAGCCTCCCAAGAAGCTAGGATTACAGGCATGCACCACCACACCCAGGTAATTTTTCTATTTTTTTGTAGAGACGGGGTCTTGTCCTTGCTCACGCTGAATGCAGAGTTCTTAATGTGTGACTAGTGCTGCATGAATTCTAACTGCTAATATATTATTTTTGCAGTTATTGCCATTATCGTCATTAGGTTGAACCACATTAAATTGGCATTATTTAAGCCTCTGTGATCTACACAAATGGCAATTTCATATTGATCGAGGTACTGTCACCCCACACACCATAGCTGCAACCTCTCCTCTACACTGAGGACCTTGGGCTCTGCAACCTGAGTGCCTAATTTCAAATCTGGATTTGCCAGCCCCTTCTAGTGACACCGATCAAGTTACTGACCAATGTTGAACATCAGTTGTCACATCTGCAAAACGGGGATAACAGTGCCATCAGCCTAGGATTATGGCAAGGATTGGACAACAAGCTGAGACCACAGTGGGGCACACAACACAAGTTTGATGAATAAACAGCCCAGATCCTGGCCTCATGGATCTAACCTCCTCCTGGGTGGTCCACTGGCCCCTTAGCATCCTCCTCCTGTGACTCCATCACTCTCCATTTGCCCAAGTTGGAAGGCTGGGCTTCATCCCTGCCCCCCC